GAAAGAAAAAGCACAGGTGTAGCAAAGTTACGGTAGCTGCTACAGACACACATTGACTGTTGAAGTACAGGCATTCATTTTTTCATGAATATTAGTCACAGGTCAGAAAGAAAAAAGTACATTGCAATAAACCTGAAACAATAACTTCTGCTTGCCAGTAATGGGAATACTGAAGAGAAAATTATTTTGAATAGAAGTATCTTCTTGTGCAAACTGTTCTATCATACTTTGAAGCATTTCAGAAGATGATTTTGTCTATTCCTCACTAAAATTGCAGTGCTTCTTCCTGCAGTCAACAGGCAATAGTCTTCCTGAGGCACTTGACAAGTGCCTTCAGGAACTGAAAAATTTGTGACAACTTTAGCACACTCATAGAAATGAAACATGATTTCTCTCTATTTTAAAATTAACATGAATTTTTCTCAGCAAGGCCTGTATTTCATACACTTTCTATTTAGACATATTATTACTAAGGTGGACATATAGGCTAGGGAAAGGGAATATGGAAGATAATCAAATATAGTTCATGGAATTGAATATAATTCACGGAATATAATTCAGACATGCTGTCCTGGTGGCCTGCTACTGTAAAATAATTATTCTCACAGCTTCACAAGCAATGTATTCCTTATCTTCAGCTTTTTTTGACATGGAGTATGTCAGGGCTAATATATCCCTGCCATAGATTGATGGATTGACCTGAATAAGGAAGTAGAAAAAAAATGAGATGTCTGAAATGTGTATCATACAAGGGCTAAAAACTCTAATTTAAGATCATTACAGTTGTTCCTCCATGGAAGGGCAATGCTTCAGGGACCTCTGAAGTCTTTGCTATTATTACATGGGGCATAAAAATAAATCTGTTATAAGACACTTTCTGACAGTGATTTATACTTAGTCTCAAAGTATTAATTTTGGCCATGCAGAAATTGCTCTAACTCCTACCAGTTTGTCAGTAATCTAATTCTGATAAATCAGGGCATTTCATACATAAAAGAAACATATGATCATGTCTGTCATAATTTTTCTTTTCTCAGGCTGGAGCCTATTAAGACAGTTCGAAGAGGAGGATTTTTCTGTGGGCCATGGCAGCTCTCCTGTCTTCCTTTGAATGTTCTGTCTCTTCAGAGATTTCCTGTTTTGTTGTCTCTCACTGCATTATCTCACATTCAGTATTACCCTGCAGATTTGAAGAAAAACAGCAAGTATTGATTGGTTATGTCAGGATATATATATATATTTGGCTGGAATTCAGCCCCATAATTTGTATTTTTTAGAAGCGTCTAAAACATTTTTTGCTCCCTGTGAGTATGAGCAAAATTTATGACCAGTTGAAGGGTGAAGGGGAGATGTTTTCATCCTAGAACCTGCTTTTGTGCAATTGAGGAGCACATCTCTCATGTGGCTGAATTCCAGAGCATCTTTCAGCACCAGTGGGAAAGGAAAGGTAGGTATAGCACTGTGTAACCAAAGCAGATCCTCAAACGTTTATTCAGCACTGGAAGGGAAGATCAGCAGCACGGTGAAGGAATGACCCTGATATCACTGTAGATCTTTGATACATCAGGTTTGCCCTCCCAAATCCTGTTCTCCCAAGTCCTAAGAGAAGCTTCACCTTCCCACTTAACCTTACTTTGAGCTGTGAAGTGGAAGCAACAGTAACTAGCTCTGTGAAGTGTTGTTCCTATATGTAAACCTTGTTTTCTGTGTGCTATCCTGTCACTACGTAGTTCTCGTATAGATATCTACAAATATGTTTGTTTCAATTAAAAGATAGACGTAAACATGACTCCTTTATATTTCTTAGTATCAGATCTGCTCATCTCAGCTTTCCATGCTACAGCATTTTTTACCTAATGGCAATGTGCATTTTTATATAACCATACAAAAGTGAGAGCGTAAAATGCAAGAAGAGACACCCAGATTCAACACGTAGCAATAAGAAATCTGTTATAGGTGTTCCAGATTCCTTGAAATAGTGAGGATAGATTTCTAGGGGAAAGGAAAGAAAAAAAGAGAAGAGAAGAGAAGAGAAGAGAAGAGAAGAGAAGAGAAGAGAAGAGAAGAGAAGAGAAGAGAAGAGAAGAGAAGAGAAGAGAAGAGAAGAGAAGAGAAGAGAAGAGAAGAGAAGAGAAGAGAAGAGAAGAGAAGAGAAGAGAAGAGAAGAGAAGAGAAGAGAAGAGAAGAGAAGAGAAGAGAAGAGAAAGAATTTGAAAGTCTGAATGGCACAATATACTTGCAGTATGGCTTATTTTAAAATATTTCAGCCTTTCAGCCTCTAGGGGGGACTATGTTTTCAGCGAATCTGTCTGTGAAGAATTTTCTTAATCTCTAGCAGGCAACTCAGACTGTTGCTAATGCTAGCTGGGGTGAGTCAAGTGATTCTTGATTTGTGCATGAGTTATTTCTGTGGGGAAAACAGCCTATGTCTATAATGACCTTAGTCCTAAAGGACCGGTTTGAGGCCTCTGCTCTTGCTGCAGTCCATGGGCGTTCTGCCTGCTACTGATTCACAACTTCAGGATTTGTTCCTATTAAAAAAGCATTTATGCAGCTGAAAAAATGTCAGTGGAGAAATGCTGGATTTATAGCTATGGAAAATACTGGAAGTGAACAAATGGTGAGGTGGATTAAGTGACATTTTGAATTGGGATTAACAAGTAAATTCTCATACATAACTGTCTGGCTCAGAAAAATAAATAAATCACCAGGATTCACCTTTATAAATTGCTTAAGATGAAGGGAAACAACTGAAACGTTTGTGACACTTTGGGCCTGCAGAAACATTGCAGAATGCAATTGCTCATGCAAGGACCACATATTGCGGGCCACATCTTTTCCAAAAGCATCAAAACCAATTTACACTGCTGTTAAATAGCACTGGCTCAATGTCTTTCTCCCTCCACCCCCCAGGCTGGCCGTGCTTCTCCCTCTTATTCATTCCCAGTAGTGCTTTACCTCACAAGGAGTAGCTGGAGTGAAGGAAGGCAACCATGTGATTTATGGGCTTACTATCTCTTCCATCGTGTTTACACAGCTTACACTCAAAGAGGACAGCTAGGATAGTATGGAGCTCACATGTAAAATGAAGATATTCTGCTGGGGAAGGGGGAATCAAAAGAGATCCTTCCAGATTTTGGTGCTGTAAACACATCTGTAGGTTCAGCATAAAGCAATGACTACAAAGGTCAGCATTTCAAAATGTGTCTTAAGAAAATGTTTTTGCAGGCTTTGTGGTGTAGATGGCTGGCATTCTGTATACTGTAACATTCAGCTTAATCTCCAGTGTGTCATATAGTCATCTACAACAGAAAATGTCTGACATAACTTATAGTAGAGGAACACACAAAACAAGCTTCACCAGGGTAGATGTTCATGTAAATTTCAAGAACACTCTGATGTCGAATTCAGTAATCAAATAAAACTACATTAGAGGCACATTTCCCAGAAAAGCTACACACATCTTTACATTTGTGAGATTTTTCATTCCACAGAGATCTGTCAGATCAATGCTCCTAAATACATAAATAAATATTTTTGGATGGTTATTTCTGCATGTGACATTACCTGTTTTTTCATTGCACTTCTCAGCTGTAGTTGCACAAACACTTACAGCTTTCTTTCCCTTGTTATCAAGGAACCTTAAAGGTGAGGTGGTGGTGACCCCTGGGCTCCCACCATCCCATTCATGGACTGCACAGTGAAGGCAGCAACAACTGAGTTCACACACTTCCCTGAAAACAATCTCCATGATGAACTAAACAAATCCTTCATGTAAAGTGAGGAGCAGTTCACTCACCTTTCTAATGCAAACCTGGCACTCTCTGAGTAATCACAAAACATCAAACCGTGCAGCCCTGCTCTGGGTTTGAGGATGCGTACATAGAAAAATCCACAGCAAGGTATCCTCCAGGATATTGTTGTTCAAAAGCATCAGGTGTCCAAAAGCCTCCTTCACAAAACATTCTGCACATTTCACACTGACACCGTTCCTTATTCCAAAACCGTTCTTCCATTTTAAATGGATTGTAACAAAGCATTAAGCATCGCAGCCTGATGAGCAGTAAAGAGAGGTGCATAGGGCTGCATTTAACATGCTCTGATCAGGCAGTGCTCTTAAGAGAATTTAAAAAGTAGGTTTTCTTTTTTTTCCCCCTCAAGAAAATAATCTCAGAGCAACACTCGTCTCCTCTTCATTGGGGAAATCTCAACTCCTTGTGGCATTAAATCGTGCCTCAGAGCCACACTGGGTGGGAAGGGGCAAAAAACCACAGGGGTCTCAGAAGGACTCTAGCAGACTACAGGGGTGGCAGCCTGAGGGGCTTTGCTGACACGGGCATCTTTCGGGGCGAGGAGACGCGAGCCCTGCGCAGCCCACCCCGCTTTGGTGTGCAGCCTTCACCCCCAGCGCCGGCGCTGCCCTCCTCCTCTCTCCGCACATCCCCCAGCACCGAACCCTGCCCTACTCCCAGCCTGCGGGGTGCTCAAACCCCCGTACAACTGAAAAGAATTGAAGCGCAGGGGAATCCTGTATTTCCCAGCCCCGGCTGCCAGAGCAGACACCTTGGCCGTCCCCCGGGCTCTCGGCGCTCAACCCCGCGCTGCAGCTCCGCGCGGCCCGGCCCGTGGGCGAGGTGTGGGGCGCGGGGGGGCCGCCGGAGGGCGGGGGCGGGCGGGAGCGGCGGGGCCGGCTCCTCCCTGCGCACAAACCCGGCGGCGCGGCGCCGGGCGTGCGGAGAAGCCGCCGCCGCTCCCGCGTTACTTAAGCGGGGAGGGAGCGTGCCTGCAGCCCCGCGGGGGGGGGCGAGTGGGGGGAACCGAGGGAGAAAGGCAAACTCAAAGCATTCCGAGCTACGCCGAGATGCGCCGTCCGTAACCCGCAGGCTAGGGCAGGTTGTTCGTTTGGCCAAACACCTGAGCAATAAAGCACGACCGAACAATTGAGAGCGGGAGGGCGGGCAGACGGGGCAGCGCAAACTTTGCCGGAGTTGGGGTCTGCCGGGGGGGCGGGCGCGATGCCGCCCTGGCTGCTCGGCAGCCTCTGCTGCGTGCTGGCGGCGCGGGCGGCGCTGGGCGGCGGCCCCGCGGGCGCGGAGGCGGCGGCGGCCGAGGAGGAGGAGAAGCTGATCCGGGTGCTGGTGCTGCTGCCGCAGGACGACGCCTACCTCTTCTCGCTGGGGCGGGTGCGGCCGGCCATTGAGTACGCGGTGCGGAGCCTGCGGGAGAGCGGCGCCGGCCTGCCGCCCGGCTACGCCTTCCAGCTCACCTACGAGGACTCGGCGTGCGGCAACCGCGCCCTCTTCAGCCTGGTGGACATGGTGGCCCTGCAGCGCCGCCGGCCCGACCTGCTGCTGGGGCCCGTCTGCGAGTACGCGGCGGCGCCGGTGGCGCGGCTGGCGGCGCACTGGGACGTGCCCATGCTATCGGCGGGGGCGCTGGCCGCCGGCTTCGGGGCCAAGGGCGGCGAGTACTCTCACCTCACCCGCGTGGCCCCTGCCTACGCCAAGATGGGCGAGATGCTGCTGGCCCTGTTCCGCCACCACCAGTGGAGCCGTGCCACGCTGCTCTACAGTGACAGCAACCCCGAGCGCAGCTGCTACTTCGCCATGGAAGGCGTCCATGTGGTCTTCCAGGACGAGGCCTTCCACATGGCCGTGCACAGCTTCGACGAGACCAGCCGCCACCTCGACATCGACGATGTCGTTCGCTCCCTTCAGACTGGCGAGAGGGGTGAGTGGTAGCCACGCGGGGCGGGAAGTGGTGTAGAGGGCATGCTGATGATGGGTTGGCAGTTGGACTGGATGCTCTAAGAGTTCTTGGATTGGATGATCTAAGTGGTTCCGTGATGGAGCAGTGGGGCTGCCCGCTGCCTCGCTAGCCCGTTTAGTGGGGACCAGAGCTGGAGGTGTGATGGTTGGAACAGAAAGTTGGGTAGGGATGTCCTCTGGGATAGGTGGGAAAAGGACCACACAAGCATCCCTGGGTCAGGTGTGCAGCAGCTTGCAGCAGACTGGGACTGCCTTGAGCAAAGCTTTGCCTGCTAGAGTTCCTTAGAGCTTCACCTGTTGCATCAGGAAGCACGGATTGCCCTTGGGACTGCATTGGGATGGTGTTGTGGCACAGGAAGAAATTGGCTGGTGGTATGTGCTCATCCACAGCTGAAATTGCTCCTTTATGCTCATACATGCAGAACAATGAATCTCTTGCTTGTTCTCTGAGATTTTAACCATCTCCATGCAAGTTGAAAGGCTGAGCAAAGGTAGCTTTTTCTTCACTGTGCTATGTCCTGCCATGGGGATCCTTTTCCCTCTCCTTCTGTTAGAAACCCTGTGGAGTAGTTAACACCTTTGGTGTTAGTGGTCATTTCAAGGCACGTTTGAATGCATAACCCATGAGTGTGTAGTTACATAGCCACCAGCTGCTACAAAAACATATGCAGATAAATCAAGGAATCACAGAATGCTGAAAAAGTGCTGAAAAGGACCACAAAGATCATCGAGCCTCAACCCCCCTGCTATGTGCAGGGTCACCAATCACCAGACCAGGCTGCCCAGAGCCACATCCAGCCTGGCCTTGAATGCCTCCAGGGATGGGGCATCCACAACCTCCTTGGGCAACCTATTCCAGCGCGTCACCACCACTGTGTGCAAATCTTCCTCCTAATATCCAACCTAAACTTCCCTTGTCTCAGTCTAAAACCATTCTCCCTTGTCCTATCACTATCCACCCTTGTAAACAGTCATTCTCCCTCCTGTTTATAAGTGGCTTGTAAAGAAAGCTGGAAAGTCACCCATGGGCTGACTGAGCTGGCTTGGCATCATGAAGTACTAAAAGCGTGAAGTACTTCAGGATGTAAAGTTTGTAGTTAAGTGTACTTCAAGGTGAGATTGTATCAAGCAGTGTGTGGATACATGGGCTCATCTAAATGGACCAGCCACAAATTTCCACAGTAAGCTATTGCTAGAAGAAAAGAGGAGCCATTCAGGACTGCTGGATCAAGCTAAAGAAAGTCCTCAGCTGTTTTTCTAGTAGAACAATAGACATAAAAAATACTTTGTGCTATATTTACATCCCTGTTTGCTTAATATTAAAACAGTATCAAAACTGAGCAGATGAGGATAGTGCTGTGTTGGCTCAGCTTGTGCTACCACGGCACAGGGCTTTGACTTAGCAGTCTGGTGTTGGTGCTGTGGTTACACTGCTGTGATGTCTTCTGTGCACTCTGGACACTGTATAGGGGATAGCTGAGATCTCTGGATATGTGGAGTTTTAACTCTTCTTTATAGAAGTGCTGGAGCAGGTGCTTAAAATTGAGCTGTCCAAGGAATTGCCATTTAGGGAAATACACTAAATGGAGGTAAAGAAATGTGTGAGTGCTAGAGGAAACAGCTATGTATGAAAAGATGCCTTTTTTCTTTTAATCAGCCTAACTTGGGTGTATGTTTGGCTTTCCTAGCATAACAGTGTGACTATAGCAGCAGAAGACGAGTGTTTGCTCTTAGCCAGAGGGAGCTCAGGATGTCTGAATGTACTACAGGAGCATGACTGATGGCTAACGGCAAAAACCCACTGAACCATACTTACACTCAAGGAGGAGAGGCTTAGTTTCAGCTCAGATTTAAATGCTTTGTTGAACTGAGACTTCTGATTCAACCTTATTCTGTAAGTTCAGTGCAAGAGACTGAATAAATGCAGCCCTCTATGGTTCTTCTCTACACCTCTGTGCTGTGCTGGGGGAGAGGGGTACCTCTCTCCATCTCAGCTTGTAACTTGTTTTCTGGTCCATGCTGCTACTGAGAGATGCAGCACGTGAGGCCTTTCTGCCTCTACTTGTGCATTCCTATCTTTAAGGACTGACTGCATAGCTTACCTTGCATGTTCCTCTGGATCTGAGGGGTGGTCTTGTTGCTTACAACATTTTCCAGACTGTCATGGCACTTTAAAAGTTGTGTATCTTGTGATGGATACACCATGTGCCTTGGCTTACTGGGTTAGGTCTTCATTTTTTCTTTGGCCTCCTAGGAGGTCCCCCCGTAGGGCAGTGGGACTGGTGGATGATGTGACACTGTTCAACACAATTTTTCCTTGGGTTTTAAGGGCTCCACTATCACATCTATAGTGATACCATCCTGTGCACTTACCCAGCATTCTCTACCTTCTTGGAGATCACTGCTGGTGGTGGCTGTAACTTGAGTGATAGGGCTTTTCTGAACAGTTTTTAAGTAGTACAGGATATGTGCTCCCAGACCCTCCAGGGGTTGAGAAAGAAGTCATCCCACCAGGTGGCCCATGGAGACCCAGGTGCTTCTCCTTACCTGTAGGGCAAAGGCTGGCCTCATGGGTTGGGTTGCAGCTGTCTGGGGGCTGGTATTAGATTCTTGGGGGCCCACAGGCCCACTTGGCCACCAAACTCGTCTTGGTCAGTCCACACTGTTAATATCACTTCCTTTACATTCCTTTAGAGATTTACAAAATATTACTTAACATATTTAAAAGTAGTCTTTTTTTTGTCCTGCTTTTTTTTTTTTTCTTTCTTTTTTTTTTTTTTTTCCCCATTTGCTCAAAATCTTTCACTGATGATATGGTGATACGGAAATCTTGATTCTATCTGCAGGCTACAGTTCTATGATAGACATGAATTACATGGGCAAAGTCAAGGGAGAGTTGGGTGAGCAGAAAGGAAACATTACAGAAGGAAATCTCTCACCTATCCTGAAATTAGGAACAGTGAGACAAATTTATTCCTGATGTTCATCTGGAAAAGATTTGGTCCAGATTTCGTTGCAAGAAATTCTTCTTTTATTTCATGCTAATATAGCTCATGAAGTATGCCTTGCTCTGCTGCTCTGGAAATTGTTACGTTACTCGGCTGTGATGATCAGTAGGACAGAACTTTGCTTGGTATTGCTCTCCTGATAGGTGGGAATATACCAAACGTGATTCATCCTGGTGGTGCTTCTGAAACTTTACACCTGTGATGGCATCCAACCAGAGAAGTGATGAGAGAAGATTCATCGGCTGAGTAAAAATGCCAAATAGGCCAAATGTTAATTTCTTATAATAGCAGACACTTATAACCAGAAAAGTTGAATACAATTCTGATTCATATTTATCATGGGAGTGGAAATATTTGCATTCATTATTGCAGTTTATGAGCCCTGCCATGCCTGACAGAATTCTTGGAAACATGCGTGTAGTCATCCCAACATCTTACACCCTTAATATAGGATATAGCCACAAAGCATGCAATGACAAAACATTTTGCAACAGTCTCTTGTCATTAGCTTCATACTGATAGTCCCATAAATGCGTATAAAAGTTTATGGTATAACATGCTTCATGCAAAAGATGTTTTTCTCCCTGTTGCTGAATTCCTGCTTTCTATCTGCAGGAGGATGGGGTGGCAAGAAGCATAGTTTCCCCTATGATTGGGAAAGTGACTTTTCAGTCATCATAGTTACTCTAAAGAGAAAAAACACATTAGACATATAGAATCATAGAATTCTTAGAGTTGGAAGGGATCTTTAAAGGTCATCGAGTCCAACTCCCCTGCAATGAACAGGAACATGCACAGCTCAGTCAGGTTGCTCAGGGCCTTATCCAGCCACAACTTGAATGTCTGCAGAGACAGGGCATCATTTACATCTCTTGGCAATTCAGTGCCTCACCACTCTCACTCTAAAAGACTTTTCCTTATATCCAATCTAAATCTACCCTCTTTAAGTTGAAGCCATTTTCCTTTGTTCTATCACCATAGACCCTGCTAAAGAGTCTGTCACTATTTTTCCTGTAGCTCCTCCTCAGATGCTGAAAAGCTGCTATCAGATCTCCTTGGAGCGTTCTCTTCTCTGGGCTGAACAGTCCCAGCTTTTTAAGTCTATTCTTGTAGGAGAGGTGTTCCATTCCACAGATCATTTTTGTCGCCCTCCTCTGGATGCACTCCAATAGGTACATGTCTCTCCTGTACTGAGGACTCCACAACTGGATGCAGAGCAGAAGGGCAGGACCTCCGTCATCCTGGTTGCCATGCTTCTTTTGATGCAGCCGAGGCTACTTTTGGCTTTCTGGGATGCAAGAGCACATTGCTGGCTCATGTCAGCTTCCTATCCACTGGAACTCCCAGGTCTTCTTTGGCGGAGGAGCACTGCTACGAAATCTGTCAGGGTGAGAAGCTGTGGATTTGGCTTGCACACTCTGTTTTTAGGCAGGGTTGCCTGAAGGTGATCAGAGGGCTGGAGCACCTCTCCTATGAAGAAAGGTTGAGGGAACTGGGCTTGTTTAGTTTGGAGAAGAGAAGACTCTGGAGTGATCTCATTGTGGCCTTCCAGTACTTGAAGGGAGCATATAAACAGGAGGGGGAGTGGCTGTTTGCAAGGGTGGATAGTGATAGGACAAGAGGGAATGGTTTTAAACTGAGACAGGGGAGGCTTAGGTTAGATATTAGGAGGAAGTTCTTCTCACAGAAGTTGGTGACGCACTGGAACAGGCTGCACAAGGAGGCCCATCCCTGGAGGCATTCAAGGCTAGGCTGGATGTGGCTCTGGGCAGCCTGGTCTGGTGATTGGTGACCCTGCACATAGCAGGGGTTTAAACTAGGTGATCTTTGTGGTCCTTTTAAACCCAAGCCATTCTATGATTCTACGAAGGTCTTTTTTATTGCTGAAGATCAATGGTGGCTGTTTGAGCATTCAAAAACTCCAGGTGCTGCCTCCATTCCTGGCCCCTGCCAGGAAGAAAGAGAGCTGGGTTGCAGGGCTGAGGGCTGATGTTCAAGTTCCAGGGATTTGTCACAGCTTTCATCCCACTGGGTTGTCACAGTGGCACAGCATCTGCGTGGAGCACAGCTTTTTGGACTTGTAGGCATAGAAGCCCCTGTTTGGCTTCTATTCCATCATAAATGAGGCTTTGTGGCATTTAATCTCTCATCCACATTTAGTCTTCTGAGTCTGAAAATGGCACTCATTTAACATGAACATTGTGTCCCATCAGAGGTGGCTGACTAGAATTATCATGTAGTTGTTGAAGATAAAATCATATCTTGAGCAGATCTGTACTACAGAATCCCCAGGAGCTGTAAAGGGATGGAGTGAATGCCTCTCTACTACCATCATAGAGCAACAAATTGTAGACTAGGTACTTAAATGTTAGATAACATGAGTGTAGGCAAAAATCTACGCCAAACAACTCAATAAAATTGAAATGGTAGTGTCATTGTATCTTACTATTTAATCTTCAGATTGTTTTATGCACACTTTAAAATAATAACCAAGGCTTATGATTGCAATCAACTCTGCAAATAGATGTAATTGAAGAAATTTGAAGGCAGAACTTGTCATATGCTGCAGGAGTAAGAAAAGAAGATAATATAGGGCTCTATTTAATTATTTTCAGAGAAGATGCAAGTAAAATGTCAATCTGTATATGATGCCTGTCTTCTGTCAGCAGTTGGGTAATAAACTTTGTTCTTTATGTTGTCACGTTTGTTGCAACACTGGGAGGACAGCTCAGGTCACTGTGTCTGGCAGCATTCATGCTAAAGAATCTGTTCCATAAAGTTCTTGAACTCCCTCTTATCTGTGTTTTCTGTTTTCTTCCACCAGTTGTAATCATGTGTGCCAGCGGTGACACAATCAGGAACATCATGTTGGCTGCTCATCGGCAAGGAATGACCAATGGGGACTATGCTTTCTTCAATATTGAACTCTTCAACAGCTCATCATATGGTAATGTTTTTCCTGCCTGAGTATCTTGCAAAGTCTTTTGTAAGCCTGATAATATTTTTAGATTTGTTAGTCTCAAAACGTGCTGTACTGAATGCACCACCATTTCTCCCTGTCTTCTACTTAGATTATGAAATTGCAACTGAATGGATTACAGGATACTGAAGAATAGTTTTAAACTAAAAGAAAGTAGATTTAGATAAGACATGAGGAAGAAATTATTTACCCAGAGGATCAGAAGGCCCTGGCACAGGCTGCCTAGAGAAGCTGTAAATGCCCCATCCTTGGAGATGTGAACATGGCTGGGCTGGATGAGGCTTTGGGTAGTCTAGTGTAGTGAAAGGCATCCTTGTCTTCCAGAGGGATTCAGAAATAAAAGGTCATTAAGGTATTTTCAAAACCCAAGCCTTTCTGTGATTCTAGGAAATACACTACAGGTATTATTTATTTGGTTACTTTTAGGGGAGACAGCACCAAAAAGACATATTAAGCAGCCAAATGTTTGGTACCCCACACTGCAGTGTGCATTTTCAGCACGGGGCTGCTTGTGCCATCCCCAGCCTTGTGACTGGCGGATGTCAGAGCAGGGGCTCTCCTGGCACTCCGGTGTGCCCTGGTTCATGTGGCCAGTTGAGAGGAGGCATGAGGGCTGGCAATGGGAATGTGTGGCTGCAGGTCCAAGGTCTCCAGTAGTCACTTCTATACATCCCTGTTTACTTTTGATCACAAGCTGTATGTGCAGAACTATCCAGCACACTGTTGTGTTGAACAGAAAGCACTGACAAACAAAAGCACAGACTGTCTAAATGTGCTAGGTTTGGGTAGATAATAGCAAATTACTTAATTCCAAATAAATATGACATGATGTGTCAAGTTAAATTAACTGAAAAATTAAATACTTTTCTTTTCAAAATACATCCCTGTTCAGTTACATTGTTGTTATGTCAGTACATGATAGAGACTAAACCTGTTCTCAGCTGCCTAAGCTAAAAGGAAGGCAATACTGGAACAATGTGTTTACTGACAGTTTTTAAAAATGTCATATGGCTGAAACTGAAGGAAGTTTTTGTCTAGATTCTAGAAGTGTCAAAGTGGCTTTTGAACAGAGCAGCTTCTTTTGCAGGTGCAGAGAAAATACTTTTCCCCCTGCAGCCTGCCTGCCTGCTCTAATCCATTAAAATAACAGATTCATTTTGAATTGAAAACCAGGAGGAGTTGTGAAAGGAGGAAAACTTGTTGTCTTTCAATCCTTGAAAAGCTGATAGAGAGGAAAAAAAAACATATTCACAAAAAGACGATGTATTTTGTTTAACGAATCAGTTAATTGCAAGTTAAATTCTCTTACACAAACTTCATTATCCATCTATCACTAAACTTCGTTATCCATCTATCACCTCTGAGATTATTTAAAAAAAAAAAGTTGAAAAGCTTGTTGAAAAGCTCTATAATGAACATGTGTAACTGCTTAAATTCAGAGTTGTAGGTACGTAAAGAAGCAAAGATAGCACTACATAAGCCTTCTAAGCTAGCTAAGGAAGTGCCAAGTTCTACCAGCCAACAAGGAAATTACTTCTATAACTAAAAGATAAATTTGCAGAGCAAGATCAAAGCCAGTGATTCAAGTCAAGGTGGTCTGTTAGCTGACTGAATTTCAGAATGACTTCATCCCTTGTGTCATAAGTGAACCATTTGTCACTGCTGCTTCAATCAGGACCAGTCTGAAAAAGTAAAGGTTTACTTGTAGTAATAGTCACAAAACTCTGATGTTTCAAGCTTTCTGTAGACTGTGGGAGCTCTGCAGACTTGATTTCACTTGTGCCTAGAAACCACTGATCATATTGCCCCTTCACTGCTGCTAGTGCTTCTTTCTGCTATGCTACTGCTCTATTTCATCTCAGAGAGTAAAATTTCATTAGAAGTGATTCATCTGGTCCCAAGTACAAGTCTGCATGTGAGATGGGCTCCTTTTGGAGTCACAGGAGAAAGTTGGGCACCCCTGGATGGTGATTCACCTCATCTTGAAGTGTCTGAAATGGCCTAGATTAATTGCGCCTTAAAACTGGTTATTTTGTTACCTTAGATGAAGCGAGCAGAGTGACTGGCTGTGTTACAGAGGTCCTTGTGGAGCAGGATTTGCTCATGTAAAAGCAGCAGCTGCAGGATATATGCTACTGTGTTTTGTAATGTGTTTTGCATTTCAGGATGGTGTTTACTAGGAGGCAATGTTGCAAAAGCACTCAACAGAGATGTGCCCATTTGTCTTGGAGGTCTCAGCATCCTCTTCCTTTTGCATTACAGTTAGTTCAGTCTACTTGTAGCTTTTCCAAGGGATAAATTACAAATATCTACCTCCTGTTCGAGTTATCAGAAATTTCTTGATGCTTCTATGAAATAATTCTTCTAATCATTTTTTCTGTTTCTTTGCAAATTTTTCCAGTGAGGAGCAAAATAACTGTTGGAAACTGACTTGAGCTGGTCATTGCATGCAGGAAGTAAATGTGGTAGGGAAATGCAGAGACATTTTCTGTGAATTCTTTGTTCCCAGTGGCAAGGGGTGCTGGAATTTTAAGAGGCACATGATTTAAGAGTTGATGTGACAGACGATTGGCATTTTCCCTTTAAGCTCAGATGACTGTATTGCAGTTTGTTGTTGCCCTCTGTTCTGAATATTTTTAATTTTTCATAAGAGCAGACGCATTTAATGCCAAGAGAGCAATAATTGCAGATAAGTACTGTGGCAAGATTACATCCCACAAAACAATCCATGAAGGAATTTAAATATGGGAATTATTTCAGGAACTCTGTTATGCAAGTGCAACTTCTTGTTTCAGTGTCAGTATTTTTAAAAATAAATATGTATAATGTCCAAGACAGAAATTTGTTCACATTCCACCAGCACTATCATTTTTTTAATATGAACCCACTCTTCTTAGTAGTCTGCCTTAGTAAGTGCAAAGCCATAGCAAACCCATCCATGTTACAGTCTCTGTCATACTTTAAGTGCTGCACTTCTGCAAAGCAGGTACCCAACTGGGACAGAGGTTTTTCAACCTCTAAGGCTCCAGCAAGGTTTGTACCCCTTTTTTGCATCCTCCAATGTATTTTTTGAAAGCAGTGAGAAGGACTGGGTACTGGCAAGGAAGGAAGCAGTGCTGCCTCTCAGAGCAAAATTGTGCTACAGGATGATAGCTGCTGTCCAATGTTTCCACCCGGTCTGATAAATGGAGTCCTGATATACATAATTTTGACCCCAAACCAAGTCAAGTTTCTTGAGTTTCTTTGTAAGAGAATGAAAGAGCTGGAAAAAAAAGCTGATGGGAAAAAAGAATTACTGCTTGTGACCAATCCTTGCTGATGCTGAGCTGTGATAAGTAAGGCTTTCCTGGGGTGAAAGAGAGGCAAAAGAGTTTCCATTTAATGAGAGTATTTTTCAGGGCCCAGCTGGGTTTGATCTCCCTGCCCTGTGCTCTGTAACAGAAGCTGCCTTTGATCCAGAATCACCATGAGGAAAGAGTTTTTATCCTGAGAGATGCAGGCCTTTCATTGCTTTCTCCACACTCTTTGAGGAAGCAGAGCAATTTTTCCATTGCCTTTATTGCTTGTTGGTTTTTTGTTTGTTTGTTTTTGTTCAATAAAACAAAATCCCAGCAACAGTATCTGGTATACTGGGTATTCACCTGCTTTAGGGGGGCCTGATAGGTCTTGTACATGAATTTGATCTCACACAGACTCTCGTTGCAGGCTTCAGTGCCATGTAAACATTACTGAGGGTTTGACGCCTGTACTCTGTTGTCACTATGCCATTAGCATCTTCCTTAAAAAAAAAAAAAAGAAAAAAAAAATATTTTTAAGCACAAAGTTCCCCAAGCATTTACTTATTTTGGTTCAGACAGCATCATGGTCCTCTAACTAAGCAGAGGAGCACATCCACTCTTATCCCAAGGTCGTGTGTGTTCCCTGATTACCTTCAGGAGCTTAGTCTTCATCATTGCTCATTTAGCCATGACAGGAGTTTCTCATGGTTGTTCCAAAATAAAAAGATTGTCTAGTTCTGAGTCATTTCTAAGTATTTAAGGCACACTGTTCAGGGCTATCACTGTTCTCTCTTTTATTAATTTTTTATGCAAAGACAGCACAGAATCTGACCCAGGGCAACCATTTCACTGAAACTTTAGATCAGGTTTTCAGGACCTCTTAGCATCACTGCTCATTAGATAGAAGGATTTTTCTGTTATGTAGCAGCTAGTCAACTATCTTGCTTTTAAAGTTATGATTAATTTACTGGTATTCTGAGTTAAATTATTTCCCTTCTTTGACTATAAAATTGCAGCACAGACACAGAATCCTGATTGTTTGTAAGTATTTTTTTCCATTAAGAAAAATGATGCACTGGCAGCTGCTGCCCATGTGGTTTTCTTCTTGACTGCAGTATGAGAGCTGTCAGAGAAGTAGATACAGCATCTACCTCCTATTGAGGGTGTTGATCATACTACTGACTTTATTGGAGCCATTCTGACTGCCCAGGACTAAATAGTGTTGCCAATGAGGTGACATGAAATAAAAACTTTGTGGTCAAATCCACCCTCACTTGTTGTAACTTAAATTTCTGTGATCAAGATCTGGCTTGTTCTTTGTTCTGAGATGTATTCTCATCATATTTAGACTTCAGCCCACCCTTTAAAAATAAGCAAGCACAGCATGGGAGTAAAGCTGTCTTTCCATTTGCACGTTTACTTCTCATCAGCCATTCCTCACTGCCTGATTTCCAGCTTCTGGAGGAGGTTCAGTTTTCCCTTGTACTCCATCATCTCCCTAAAGTATGGGAAAGGGGACATTTGGATGGAAAAAGGAAGGTGGTCCTGTAGTAGAACCTAGTTTGCAACTGAAAATGTGCCTATTTTTCTCTTAGGAAATGGCTCTTGGAGGAGAGGAGACAAGCATGACCTTGAAGCAAAGAAGGCATACTCATACCTCCAAACAATCACTCTGCTGAGGACTGTAAAGCCTGAGTTTGAGAAATTTTCCCTAGAAGTGAAAAGTTCTATTCAGAAGCAAGGTCTGCACGAGGATGACTATGTAAGTACTTGGTAACACACTTCATGTATTAGCATCTCTTTCAAGTAACTTAAAGCTCTCATAAAGCAAAAGTAGCAGTGAGCCTCTTCAGAACAGAAACAGCCTTGTTCAGTTCTAAAAAACTCGTTGTTGCCTATACAGTGTTTTTTTTCCTCTTTCTTCCCTGAGGATAAAGCAAGTAGCAGCTACAATAGATGTGTTTAGGTCTGTGCACCATTGTCTGTGGCCACTTCTGTGCATATCCTAAACATTTATGTTAAGAAACAGGTGATGCTTGAAGAGAGTTTGATCAGTCTTCATTTGTAGTAAGGAAGGGCTGTAATATGAACAGCTCACTAGGAATAATGGCTGTTGGGGAAAAAGTTTGAATCTCTTGCAGTTAAGAGTGTGAGACAAAGCTTTTCTTGCTATCATATATGCCTACAAAGAGAGGAATTAACCCATGAAGTCAGGCAAAATTTTGACTTCATAAGCTAAAGCAGTATGTTATGCTGCTTTTCAAACAAATTCAAATGTTGCTGGGAAGTAGACTATGAAATTAATATTCTGCAGAAAGGCTGAATTTGCTTGAAAGCGGTCATTTTGGCTGAAAGAGAGAGACATCCAGAGCATTCCTAAAGGAATACTTGAGGGAATTTATGCTCTAAATTCAAGAAAGTAACACAAAACTCCCGTTCACTAGCTTCCGCATAGATACCTATCTCAGCTCTTTAAGAATTGTGTCTCTCTCTCCCCTATGGTGGTATCATCATCTAGTTCAGAGCAAAAGTGTGGATTTACTTTATTGAAAAGTACTAATTTAAATGTTATGTTGAATCACATCAGTGGCGTGTATTGTAAAAATGAAGCTTTCAGAGTGTCAGAAAATAATCTTTTGTTAGCATTCTTTGCCTCACATTACTAGAGAAATCCCAGCTGGCAAGTTCAAGGTGCTACTCACTGAAGAACCTACTAAATGTGTTTTGAACAATGCATGGAACTAATTTGTGCTGTTCCTCCCTTTTCCCTCTACGTGCCTTTTTGCAGATGTCACTTAGCAAGACATGTATCTTGAAAAATTGCCATTTGTTCTTGGTTGTGGTTAGTGAGAAATGCAAATTTGAATATTAAAGATCAGTCACCCTTGAAGAGTCTCAGTCATTTCTGGCATTTCTAATGCAAGCAGTGTGACATTTTCCCAGATGAAAGAAAGCTCAAACTAATGAGAGCTCAGGATGCTGTCTGCCCAGCTTATGGATGACAGGCTGTCTTAGGGAAAATGATTTGGATCAGGAAGCTTTGCTGTTCTCTAGGATGGAAGCCCACTGCAAACCTCGAGCCAGTTCAGCATAGGTGCTGAGTTAAGGCCACTGGACAGATAAGAGCTGTGGTATGGTCAAGCAGAATTGCATCCATTGTACCCTCCAGTGCCAACAGGGAGAGATTTTGCAAGCAGGCTGTTGGGCAGACTCCTTCAACGTTTTTGTACTTGCTGCTGGAAGTCTTTCTTTCTCAGGCTGTGGTTGCTTATATAATCAGGGTTGGTCATGCTCCTAGCAGTCTCAAGGCAGCTGCAGGGGTGCCTGGCTTCCCACTGCCTCAGCATCAACCTTTTGCCTAGCTCAGAGGACCGCCTCATCATATATTCTCTTCCTACCTGAGATTCAGAGCTTTTGCCTTGTTCCAACTGCTTCCGTGCCCAGAAATATCAGGCTTTGCCAAGCAGTAGCATGGGGCTCCCACTGCTGATATTTCTACTTGTCTGCCCACTCTTTCTTTGCCACTTGGCTTTATGAACACTTCCCAGAGGGGAAGGGAGAACACAGGGAGGACTCATGATTTATCTACACACACTGCAGTTTCCTTGACTTGCAGGAAACTCCTAGTGGAGGCTATGGGAATTTTGGACTCCCATGTAGGAGTTACCAATCTTGGCTATGGGGAAAAGAAGTTAGGAAAAGCAGAGCAGAATGTCCTAATATTGGATGCTTAATGTGTATACAACAAACTCTTCCACACCTGCTTTTTCACAGCTTTCTAACAAAGTGGGGAAATACAACTTAAGAGCACTGGGCTTGGGTTGAACATAACAAAAACACTGAGTGTGTTACATTCACTTGTGTACGTGAATTTTTATAAAATTTCTGGTGCAAAACCATTTATGATGGATTTTGCCTTTTTTCAGTTTTGACAGTGAGAAAGAGATGGCTCATATTCTCTAATGGTTGTCTTGCTGCCATGTTGAAAGGGAAAACATTTCAAGGAGAAGTAAGAAGCTAAAGTGAGAGCCAGTTCCTTCTTCTCTGAAGGATATGAGCGTAGTGGATAGGCACCTCATTAACAGTACTTCTTTTGGCAGCATAAGAGGAAAGTGGCAGTGTTAGCTTCAAAGCATGCTGACCTGCGCTGTTTTCTCCAAGGGAAGCTCTCTAGGGAGAGGTCATTCAGCTGAGAGGGCTAGGAAGTGACAAAGACAGATTTTCTCTGCTGGATTCTGCTCCTCAAAACAAAACCTGTGGGGAAAGATGATCTGTGGTACAGTCTATCTCAAGTCCTATCAGCGGGTGTTGAAATGTAATCCTCGTCTATTTCTGCAAGCTGTGTCCCAAGAGGACAAATTTAGAGAAATTTGGATTTGAAGCATTTAGTGTTTCTGCTTCTCTGTGTGGATTTTTGCAGTGTAATGGGAAAAGTGGGCCCTGGATCTATGGCCTAAATTATCTCATAGTGACTCTAACTCAAACAAAAGTAGTTAGCGCTGCCATTTTGTCCTGGCCTCTTGCCAACATAATCCTAAAGGCATTATTATCTAGTAAAAAACAATATAATAAAAGTGGAAAATAACCAGATGACAGAAGAAAAGATAAGGGAGACAGAAGGGGCAAAGTCCTAAAACACCAGCTGTCAAACTGCTGGACTAGAGAACACATGTGGCCCTTAGAGGACTGTTAGGTCAAAGAGTGTTGGTCTTCCTCATCTCCAGCTGTGAAATCACACAGAAATAAGTGGGGGAAAAAAATAATCAGGACATGTGTTCTGGATGCATCTTTTCCATGTCAGAAATTGCTGTTGTTTTTGCAGGGATGTTGCACTGTGATGGTGGGAAAAGTAAAAGAGTCCACATCTTTTGAGTGAGCAGGAAGGTGTGAGAAAGACAATTTCTGTCAGGGAATCTGTTGTGTAGGAAGAAGTTTCCTTAAACACTTTTTTAACAAAACAGCTGTGAAATTTAAGGGATATGAAGTGGTTCTGAGAAGTTATCTTACAATTGTCTGGATAGTCAGTAATTGTAGAGGATAGTGTTCCCTGCCTGCACAATCCTGTTGCATGATTTCAAGAAGCACCACGTTTTTGGTAGAAAGCCTGACCATTTTATTTACTGCTTACTTAGAGGCTGTTTTCTATAAAAATATACCCAAAGTGGGATTTTTTCCAAAAATCTGTTCAGATACAGAGTTCAGGCATAGAGACAATAGAATTGCTTTAATGTTATTACACTTACAGCATTTTAATCAGCTTCCAATGTTGATTTATTGCCAAGATATTAACAGCAACATGTCCTGGGCTTTCTGGAGCAATTGAGACCCTTGGTTTAACAGCAAAATATGGGAATAGCTCTGCTTGCAGACCTGTAGCCTAGTTTAGGCAGCAATGGGAGTTGCGTGTTTTTACTTGACAGAAGAATTTGAAACTGTCTTTAAATTGGTATGTACATAACTCCCAACAGATATTCTAGTTAAAATTGTTTATGAATAAATAGTGTTTCAGTTAAAGTATATGCATAAGCCATTTTTATTAAATAATGATGAACACATAATGAGTTGGCAGTATGGTGCAGTTTGGAAGTTCTTAATGCATCTTCTGTTCTTGACTCAGGCCTAGGATTCAATAAACACTTTTTTAAAATCTAACCCATATTCTGAGCTGGGGTGATTTTACAGCCTGGGATATTTGCTCGTCTGAGGTTACAGACCACCCATGGCTTGTTTTTTCTTCTCATTTAAAAGCTGAAAGTGCAACTAATTAAATATTTCTGCCATGTTAACTACATGACAGTATTGTTTGCTGGGTGAAAGCATGGGGTTTATCCTACCCACAGACCTTTTTGCAATGCTGAAAGTAGGCTGCAGGAGGAGGGAACTGCTGCCCAATTTGCATGTAAATCTTACTGAAAGAATGAGCACAGAGTCAGAGCTACATAGATTAATTAGATCAGCGAGATGCTACTACCTTTTAGAAAGGGCAAGTCTGTTATTTTTTGGTTTTAGCTTTCTGAAATGAGAAATGATCAGCATCAGAACTGTTCAAGCTCCAACAGTTAACAATAAAAGCTACGTGGGAGGTAGCTGTGCTCATAAAGTTTATCATCCCATCCACAACATCCGTGCCAGACTCTTCCCTGTGTGTATTCCTTACGTCAGCCTTTTAATTAGGATTGTATACCAGCTAAGATAAGTGTTGGGAGAAGCAAGCAATTCAGCCATGTCACTGAGAGGGATGGTAAAAATATAACTGCTGTATTCAGCAGTGTATGTCCCACTTGTTTTTCAGACATAGCCAGGCAAAATTAACGACAGGGCAGGCTTTTGTGTCTCTTCTGACTACACCAGAATGGGAGAGAGTTTGGGGTTGATTTTTTAAAACTCTGCCAGGGAATAATTTGTTTAAATGAATTGGTCTATTCAGCTGCTGGAGTGCTTTGCTAATTGTGTTCAAAAGAATAAAAGCAAACCACAAGCTGCTTTCAGCAGCCGGAAAGAAATGGGCTCACATGCCAGCTTATTAACAAGATGATTTCTATTTGTAAAACATATTTAGGATTTTTGAGACCAGCTTTTCATCCTGTGAAATTAATGAGACTTTTTTCAATTTCCATAGGAATGGGGTTGATCTCTGAACAGCTAATTTTTGTGAACATAACAGACACTTTTTTTTATTTTGCTGAAGTTAATTGTTTCTCAATAATATGAAAGATCACTGTCTTCCAAACTGGAATCTTAGGGAAAGCTGCAGTGTAATAG